CAAGGGAGGTCTGCTAGAGTACAGAAGCACTGCTCTGTTAGCTACTCCTTTAGGATTCACCTCCATGCTTTAGGTCTTTCATGTACATTTGAATGTGCAGTGGTTCAAAGTATCACATCCTGAGTGTTGAAGAACCAGCTGACTTAAAATAGGCTTGGTGTTCTAGATTGAGGGCTGGGGAAACAGCGGTCATTAGGTATAGCTCATGCCATGCCAGTGTGAGAACCTGACTTCACGCCCATGGAACCCGTGGAAAGCCAGGCATGCAGTGCACATCTGTAATCCTGCATCCCTTTGGGACATGGGAGGTGGAGACATGAGAGTCACTGGAAATGTGCAGGCCAGCTAGTGGACGAGACCTGTGTCAGGGTGGAAGATGGGGACCAACACCTGAGGTTGTCCTGGGTCTTCCACATAGGTGTGGCACATGCATAAGCACACACAGGCGCGCACACACAGGCGCACAAACACACAGGCACAGGTGTACACACAAACACACACACAGGCACACATGTACACACACACACACATTTAAGTGTATTTTAAAGCACAGATTGTTGTATGTAATATTTTTGTGACTCAGTATAACTGCTCAGCTTCCTATCCAGAGAAGTGAGAATAATAAATGAGGTATGTCTCCACCCACGCCCCAGTTCCCTTTTATGCATAGTGTGGCTCAGATGAGAAACTGCATCAGACGTGGCTCTGAAGATCGACTGGGAAGCACCCGCCCACCCTTGCCAGGGTGGATGGAGTGAACTAGCTCAGGTTTCAGGAAAAGGCTCCCTGTTCAAGGACAATTACTCAGACTCTCCCTCTCTGTGGCTTTTGTGATCATGAACAGCTGGGTCCTAACCGCCTCTGAGACAAACCAACCGGACTGCCGTGGGCAGCTCTGTTTCTTACTGAGTTCCTTTTTCATTAGGCTGAAATGTATCCTTGTAACTGCCCAGGCGGTTTTCACTCTTTGGCTCTTGTCTTACAGAGTAATGTGAAGCAGTTCAGATTGGGGTATTTCAAGTTTAGCAATCTGTAACTGAGAAAGGGGTCCTACGGCTCTGTTTCCTGTTTCTCACAATTCAGTACGGTCAGTGAGGCTGGTGCCTGCCACGTGAATGCTGTGCATGGGCACAAAGGACAGCTGTCGTTTCTCCCTTCTGAGGCCCGGAAGTGGAACAGGGGCCATGCAGCCCAGATGGAGATGAATGGGAGTACCAACTTTTTACCTTTTAATGAGAATAGCTGCCATGGTTTTCATGTTACTTACGATGCCTTCTGGAATAAACAGTGCTTACATTCATTGGGCTATAAATAGTTTACATGGTCAACCAGACCAATAACATAAAAAATGTAGGTGAGAGAATGGTCACTAACGAAAACGGATATTTTCACTTTTTATACGCACCTGTGTGCTTATCAGCCATTAGGTGTAAGACAGTTGCATATGGGACAATGAAACACTTGGTGACATAGCAGAGTGTTCCTTGGTGTGACTGTATACTGTGACAGGGTTTCAGGGGGGTCTTCCCAGGGAGCAAAGGCATCCAGTGCTCACCACACAGACTTACATCTTCATTCATAGAATCTCTACCAAAGGTCAGCTGCTGGAGAGACAGACGGCACAGGCCGTGGCACACAGTGTCCTGCCATCTGTCTGACTTGTTGCCAGTCGGCAGTGTGACTTGGAGGACCGGGCAATACTACTCAGAATCACATTTCCCTCCACTTTAGAAGGAGGCAAAACTTTTCTCCTCTTGCCTGTGCGGAGTCTTAGGATTAAACGTCTTAGGACATTTGGAGCTGAGTCTTAATGCAGCTGATCTCAGCCATGTAGCTCTCAGAAGGTTCTGTAAGCATTACCGTTCCCGTCCTTGTCTTGAAGATAGAGGTCCTTGTCTCTCTCAGAGTATTTATGAGAAGTAAAGGGGTTAATTCCCATGTAGGGCATAGAACAGCCTGGCAGTTAAGGCCTAGTGGCTCATTATCTTCTGTGAATTCTTGAAGGCTACATGACAGTGATTTTAGTATCCTGTGTGGTTTTCTGTTTTTGTTCTTTTAAAGAACATATTGTTAAATAATAAAAATAGTACCTTAAGGGGTTAAAGCAATAACTTGTGAGTTAAAAGTACTCCTGTTTTGGAGAGTTTAGCTCCAAGCACCTACATTGGGCTCCCAGCTTTCTGTAACTCCAGCTCCAGGGGATCTAATGCCCTCTTCTGGCTCCAAGGGGCAGTGCATTCAGTGCACAGAAACATGCACATACACACATACTCACATAGCTTAAAATATTTTTTAAAGAGAGAGCTTCACTTAGAAGTGTAGCTATTTAATAGTTACATGGCACACACACACACACACACCACACACACACACACACACACCCTACACTTACTCTTTAGATAAGATCAGCATCTTAGTTACCAAGCAAACCTAGAGAATTAACTCACTTGACTAATCCCTCTTGAGCCTCCTGGTTGTTTTGTTTTTAAAAATGTGACTTTATGGAGAAAGTTTAGTCATGACTCTGAAGACTTACTCCTAATTGCCTTTTGTCTTCAGACTGTTGAGATGAACGGACTTATTCTAGGAATGGTCTTTAGCAGCCTCGTGAGTTCAGAAAGCCGTGGGTGGGATCAGTATTCTAGCTTGACTTCTCTAGTACTGTTGGAGACTTGGAACTCTGTCCAGAGCTTGGCTAGTACCATGTATAAAAGAAGGAATTCAAAAAATGTATTTGACTTTCAGTGGTGCTAAGATTGTAGTACCTCTGCATCTCATTTCGACTTTAAGGAGTATAAAATGTTGATGAAGACCTCTGCTTATCAAAGGCCCATTCATAATAACCCTCAGGGTTTGGTTCACAGACAGCATATTCAGATAAACATGCTGGCGATGACTTACCATGACTTCCCCTATTAAAGTGCTGGGGAATGCTTAGAATGTAGCTAGCAATTAGCTTACAAAGAGCCATTGAGTAAAGAAAAAACAGCTTTAAACCTATTATAGCTAAGGTCTTTATAGATACAAAATTCTTTTATGTATTTATTGTTTTAATATGTGAAATCCAGGTGATTCAGTGTTTTCAAATTCATTTCTTAGCTAAAGTTAGTTTTTCTCTTTGTTAAAAAGATTTATTTGGGGCTGGAGAGATGGCTTAGCGGTTAAGAGCACTGACTGTTCTTCCAGAGGTCCTGAGTTCAAATCCCAGCAACCACATGGTGGCTCACAACCATTTGTAATGAGATTGGATGCCCTATTCTGGTGTGTCTGAAGACAGCGACAGTGTACTCATAAATAAAATAAATAAATAAATCTTTAAAAAAAAGATTTATTTGTAATTTGTGTATGTGACTGTTTTGCTTACATGTATACATGTACAATACATGCCTGTAGATGTATTCCAGAGGCACTTCAGCCCCTGGAACTGGAGTTACAGCCAGTTGTGAGCTGCCTTGTGGGTGCTGGGAATCGAACCGTGATCCTTTAGAAGAGCAATCAGTGCATCTAACTACTGAATCATTGCTCCAGGCTGTTAAAATGATTTTATCTTTTTAAGAAAAAGAGGCCTTTGAGTCACTGCTGTCTCTTCAGTTTCAGGAACAGCTTGGATAAACATGGTCTCTCCTGATAGCAGTCTACAGCAGGACATAAGCATGGGTATTTATAGCTCACTGGTATAGATATTCATTGTCAACACCATTTGAAAATTTGATTATAGAATGTGGGCATATGGACTTCCTGTTTCCCTGTTTAGTGATACAGTTGAGGTTCTTGAATATTTTGTTTGATTATTCTTACATGGAATTTAGTATATTTCTTCACTAGTAGCTATATATTAAATACTTTTTGAACTCTAAATTCTTAATTTTTAAATATTTATTTTTATGCTATGTTATAGTCCATCATAGCTCTTTTGTTCTCCATGAAGAAATAACTTTTAAATATGCAAAGAGAAGAGGTTGATGTTACATGCTAGCCATTTGATTTTTACAGGATTTTGCATTAAGGAATGTCAGGTTTCTATCAAGGGATATATTGCATGTGTTCTGCAAAGTAGAAAGGAAACCTTCAAGAATAAAACCATACCACTCGGGAGGCAGAGGCAGGCGGATTTCTGAGTTCGAGGCCAGCCTGGTCTACAGAGTGAGTTCCAGGACAGCCCGGGCTATACAGAGAAACCCTGTCTCGAAAAACCAAAAAAAAAAAAAAAAAAAAAAAAAAAAAAAAGAATAAAACCATACGTGTCAGGATATAATTCCTTAGCCCTGAGTCTGTGAGATCCAAGCAAGCTCTCTGCTTTAACAGACTCCTCATTTGTTAGTAGGCATAGTAGCTGGGAGGTTGTAATATGATAACAGTATAAAAGGTATAATACACTTTCAAGGTATATAGTCTATGATACTTTATTTTTAAAAATTGTTCCATTTATGTTTAACATTTCCAAGCAATGCTGAGTGGATATTTGGGGATCTATGTGTTCTGAGTGTATTTCTAGGCACATCAGTTTCTAAAGGTTACCTAAAAGATATTGAAATAACTAGAAGAAATACTTGATTTCTGAATAATTCCTCCCAATGTTTTTGCTGTTATGGTTTTAGTGTTCATTTTTCCATTTTCCAAGTTTTTAAAATATATACTTGTGACTTTAGCTTTAAAATAAGTTACAGTAGCTGGTTAAGGTAGGTCTTACATACACATGCATTTTGAAGTTGGTCCCTTTGTGGGGAAAAGGGAAGGGGATGTGAATTGGTGCATGGTGGACTGCACACTCATTCTCCATTGCCCCCTCCCCACCTGTGGGGTGGACCTTGGCTTAATGCTTTACTCTCCTAGAATGAAGTAGCTTTGCTCTAAGTCAAGTTGCACCGTTGATGTGGAGATCAGTATTTGTAGAAATATCAAACATTTCAATGAGATATAAAATTGTGTGATGGTTTTCTTGGTATTATAAACTATAAACAAATGTCTAATGTTCAATTGGTTCTGTTTTGTCTCTTTAGGTGGTGTTTTTCTGAAGTTGTTCATTGAGACATTGCTGAGCATTGCTGGTGAGGTAAATAGGTAAATGCAATCACATGTCCTCACTGTTAGTGTCTCTTTGTCTTGTTTGTCTTGTTTTTCAAGGCAGGGTCTTGTTATACAGCCTGTGTAGTCTTGAAACTCACAGCAATCCTCTTGCCTCAGCCCTCTGTGTACTGGGATGACAGGTGGGGGCCGTTGTGTCTGGCTTGATGATGTTATTGTTGGAAGCATTTTTTTGAGAAAGATAACTTTTTACCTTTTGGGACCTTGCCTGGTATCTTAGTTACGTTTCTATTGCTGTGATAAAATACCACGACCAAGGTGACTTATGAAAGAAAGATTTTAATTGGTTTACAGTTCCAGAGAGTTAGAGCCCATGGTGTTGCAGTAAAGACATGGCTGCAGCAACAACTGACAGCTCATATCTTCACCCACAAGTCGGAGGCAGAGAGATAACTGGGCCTGGTGTGAGCTTTAAAACCTCAAAGCTGGCCCATAGTGACACCACAAGGCCACACCTCCTAATCCTCCCCAAACAGTTCCACCGAGCATTAAGACATATGAACCAATGAAGGCCATTGTATTTCAAACCACCACGTGAGTCGCAGGCCTCGTTTACTAGACTCAGTGTATCAGCTGGATAGCATCAGTTATTACCACACAGAAGTCATACTGGTGTCGGATAAACAGCATTGAGCTTAATACTCTAATTTTTCCTTCTGTTCTGATCTGCTTTGTTCTGTTGCTGCTCAGGTAACAATTTCAGAGCTCTGTATTGTGGGTCTTCCCCCTTTAGCCTCTCTATAGATCATTTTAAGTCCTGTATCATTTCTCTTAGAACAGGGAAGTAGATGTGGCCAATTAAAATAACCCAGATTTATTGCTTGATGATCACTCATACAGAGGGATTGCCAGAAAGACAGTTGGAAACAGTTCAGTCACAGGTGATTAATGATTTAGGAAATTTTAATTTACAAAGGTCACCTTTGGAAAATAGTAGTAGTAGGGGGTGGATAACCCCCTGCAGCGCTCATTTAGGAAAATCAAGGCAGAGGGTAGTTGAGTATCTGCCGCTAAAAATTGGTCCAGTTCTGATTCTCGAAAGAGAGAGGCCTGTTCACTTCTGTCATTTTAGGGCCCTGTGAGTGTTACAATCTTGACAGTAAGCTTAGATCAAAGGAGCCAGAGTCTAGTGTAGGTTCTAGTCCAACTGACGGCTGTCCAGTAGGGCTTGCTGCATGCAGAGGGTTTATGCAGGGCATTTCTACAAATACTGTCCCCTTCGTAGAAAAGCCATTGTTTTGGTTTCCAGGTTTTGAGAAAGGACATAGTTTTCCTGCATTCCATCTTGTGCTACCGACTGATCAAGCAGTACTAGGCTCCAGCACCAGCACTGTTGGGAGACTTGGGCTCTTTTTAATGAGAATCACAAACACTTGTGAATTATAAACTGATTAGAGCAGCAACCTTCTCATGGGAAAGCAAGGGCTGGCTTAAAACAGATGGTGTCCTGGGCAGGGTAAATATTTGCACCTTATCAAACTGCTGATCTTTAAATATTTGTTCCATATTTATTTAATGGAGATGGGAGACGCTGGTTTTTGTATTAATAAAAAATGATTTAACCAGACACAGTAGATACTTGTCATCGTAGGAGGTGGAGGCAGGAAAAATGAAAAGCGCAAGGTCATCTTTGACTACAGTAAGTTAGAGACTAGCCTGGGCTACTTAAGAGCCTGTTTCAAAAATATGTATGTGCATATCTGTATAGTATACAATAGGTACATATGTGTGTTATAAATCCATATGTATGAATATATATATATATACACAAACATATATGTGTGTATGTACATATGTGTATGTGTATATATATTTACACTTTCTGGGTTTAAATCCCTGCTTATAATTGCATGTGTAACTTTGAGTTCTTGACACCTAGTTTGGCACCCTTTCCTGTATGTTAAAGAGACTTATTGCACAGAAGTTTTTGGACTGGGTGTTTATAAACCTTGTTTAGAATTTGGCTAGTGATACCATTTTAGATGTGGAATGTCAGGGGCCTGAGAGCCAGGTGATGGGGTCGGGTGGGGGTTGGCAGTGAGGCCTGTGTTTGTTCCTATCATCCGGGGAAGATCTACTCACCAGGAGGGGCTGTGAGTAACCAGTGTTTTCACTCTCTTCAGAGGAACCATCTGCTTAAGTTCCCAGGAACGGGAGCCAGACCATTCTACCCACCACACAGGCAGTCATGTGAAAACCCAGGCTGAGAGCCCACATTTTCCATGTGTTCTGTTAGTGGTTCAGTCTCCCCACTGTGGGATGTCACCCTGGATCACTGCTGGGCTGGCTTGTTTAATCCTGCTCTGGGGAGAAGCCAGGTCCATTTTGCAGTGCCTTGAGGAGCCAAGCCCTGTTTGGCCTCATGATTGATCCCCTATAAAAGCCCCATAAAAGCAGCTCTCTCTGTGTCCTTCATGTTAGTTTTAGTTGTGGATTCATCTGAGACCAGCTATGCCAACTTGATCAGGTCAGATGGAACTAAGGAAGTCTGAGTTGAGTGTGGTCCTACTTCCTGTTACCCACATTCTTTCTACACAGTAGCAGGCTTCTCTTGAGCAGAAAGAACAATTATAGTTTGAGGCAACTCTGGACATCAACTGTCCTCAACATAAATCCCCTGGACTGGACACCCGGGCTGGGGTCCCAGCAGAGGGACCATGTGGCTCTGTGCCCGGGGCAGGTTTTGGAACCTCCTATACTCCACCTCTATTCTTGGGGATGGCTTCTTCCTTCTCTGGTTTGGGTGGTTGAAGGAAATAAAGATTGAGGTGAGTATATCAAAACAGTCAACCAGTATCCCCTACCTGGCTGTCTGACACCAGATGCTCTGGAGATTTGCTTAGATGTGAAGGCTGAGAACTAATTCTCTCAGGCTCTCGCTGACACTCTTTGGACAAATGTCTCACCTCCCACACCTCCTTGGTAGAAAGGCAAGGTGTCTCTGTTCTGCACTGCTCTCTGCCCTGCAGGAATTGTGGGAAAGCTTTAAAGAGGGCAAGTTCAAGTATGTGGTTAACATCAGAGGACTTCTATTGGCAGCCCTTGAGAAAAAAGTAAGAAATCTGGGCTTGAGTCCCTCCTTATAATTAGGTGTGTAACTTTGGCTGAGTTCTTGACACCTTGTCTGGCTCTCCCTGTGTCTCAGGCTGCTAGGAAGTCAGCGTGGAACAACTGTATGTATGCCTAGTGGAGTATAGGGAACTAACACCTAGTGAATCTTAAGAACTATGCTCATAACTACAACACAGCACCAGGAGGAGAAGGTGTCATTACTGAAAAGAGCCCACAGTTTAAGGTCCCTTGAGTATGAATCTGGCTTCCTGGGCTGCCTGTGGCACCAGGTTTTGCACCTTTGGTCCAGGGAAAGTAATCTGGATTGATGGAGAGTAACCACATGGACCACTGTCTCTGGAGACAGTATAGGGAGACTTGGTCTTCCTGGGTTTTCTTCCAGGTTGGAACCCAGTGGATCAGCTAGGTCAAAGTGCTCAGCCTGGTGCTGGCTGGTGGGGATGGTAGCCACACCTCCACACAGCGGCTGAGCTCTTGAATGGCCTGTGCCACAAAGGCACTGAAATTTTAACTATTTAATTTTCATCATTTAAAAAGATAGCACAGAGTTCCCCTACAGGGAAACCTTTCAGAGCCTTTAGAACAACTTGGGTAAGCAAATCTTGCTTCTCGACTGTGAATTTCATGACCACCATGTGGGTGCTGACATCAAATCTGGGACCTATGGAAGAGCAACCAGTGCTTTTAACTGCTCAGCCATCTCTCCAGTGGGCTCCCCTCGATCCAACACCCACCCCACCCCACCCCCATCCCAAACACTCTCTAGTTATCTTTGAGATAACCACTTGTTTTTTTTTTTTTTGTTTTGTTTTGTTTTGTTTGTTTTCTTTTAAGGACCTCTGGCTACAAAAGCCTCTTAGGGACTCCCCCCTTCTGTCAATGAAATGTAGCTTTCCTCAATAAGCTATAACTTTTAAGAGGAAGGTTTGAGCCTTTTAGGATGTCCCCAGTGACTGGGTGATGATGACTGTCTGTCGGATGGAGAGGTGGTGACTTCAGTACAGTAGGGCACCCAGCATTAGTGCCTGATGTGGACTGTGTGCTCAGCGAATGCTGGGAAGTGGAGGGGTGAGTGTGGGCTTCATGTAAGTTCTAGATCATAAGAGAGTTTTATTTTGTTTGTTTTGAGATGCTGGAGAATCAGATCCAGGGCTTCGTGCGTGTGAAGCAGATACTAAAGGAGCTGTGTCCCCAGCCCTAGAAGCTGAGTTTTAGAGAATGATCCACTTAAAACTGGAGAAGCCATAAAGGTGTTCTCAGGCAGAGAAGGGAGTTGGGGACTAGCTGTCTAGCTAAAAGCCACGATGTCTTTGTGTAGATGAAGTGTTACTGGGAATATCAGTTGTTGGAGTCACATCCAGAGGGCAAGATAGCAGGCAGGAAGATGCCCATGGCTAGAAAGAGAGAGGGCTAAGAGGGCAAGCGGAGTGGGCAGGGCCTCAGCTAACTGGTGAGCACAGGCTAAAGAGGCAAGAGTCAGTGGGGTTAGCTGGAGATAGGAGCAGAGATGGAGTGTAGCGTTAAGAGAGGTGGATTGCTTTAATACTTCAAGAGCAGTGACAGTCTGTGTACTAGGCGCTGTCTGCGGAGATCTGTGGAGCTCTAGCCTGGCCAGAGTGGCCAAAGAGTTGCGCTTTCTGAAGGTGAGGAGGAGTCGGGTCTTCTGTGGCCACTGCTGCTCTGGAGCTGCAGGACACTATGAAGTTGGCACGAGCAGAGAGGGGGGTCAGATCTGCGCGAGCTGTCTGGTTTCTTCAATGGCTAAAGGTGCTGCACCCATGGAATGCTGTGAGCAGGCTAGGAGCCAACGTCAGGGCCACCGAGCAGGGAAGTGACCGAAGTAGACTTGAACAGCTTCCAGCAGCGAAAGCTTTGTGAGAGAACTTTCTTACAGCT